CGAGCAGGGAGCCCGATGCGGGACTCGATCCCGGGACTCCAGGATCATGACCTGAGCCGAAGGCAGTCGCTTAACCAACTGAGCCACCCAGGCGCCCATGTATTCTTTCTTTTTGACTCTAAGTAGTGCCACTTCCTTCAAGGCCTCTTGCTCCATACAATGTCTCTGAACATAGAGCAAAGCCCCCAAAGAAAGGACTTCCTTCCTGGCTACACCCAGCAAGGCTCCTCACAACACCATGCTTCCCTCCTGCTAAATGGCACACGGATACAAACACCAAGGCCAGCTCTGCTGGGGGTGCACTGGAGAGACCAGAGAGACCTGCATCAGCATTTTCTGTCCATTCCAGATCCTGGTCTTCTCACCCTTTGGGGCATCATGCCAACATTTTCTGCTGCAAATCTCACTGAGCTCTTCTTAGGCAGCTTTATTCCTTTTAATTAAAAAGACAAGACTGTCAATTACTTAAACTTAATCCCCAAATGTAATTGTTACTTTGAAAGATTTTTTTCCCATAAAGCTCATAGAAGAGAAATATGTCCATCAAATTAAAATTTAGTGGGAGCTAGGATTTTCAAAAAAAAAATTCATCTTCAAATCCCTGCTGGCTCTCGAAATCTACATAGCACAGCAAAGCCTAAGTACAGGAAGATCACCTGGAAAGTCTGACTGGTGTAGGTAGAAACAGACTAGGAAAATAGGAAAAGGCATTAGAGAAGAGTCTCTGTATGAAAAATTCTCCTACCTTTAAATTGATGCTGTAGGATTTTTAGCCATTTAGCTTGAAGCTAAATATAAATTCTGAGAGAGGTAACACTTCCAAGCAGCTGTTGGGACAGTGTGAATACATTTCAGGTTTATTCTTGCTGGCAAATTTGAGCAAGGAGAGGACCAGAATTGTTTAGGGAACACAGCGGAAAGAAGAACGCAGAGCTGAGAAGAGTAAGGCACAGAAGTGGATTCAACAGGGAGAAGTGGGTCAGAATCACTGTGTTGGCAGGTGAAGTATGGATTCTAGGTGAAGTATTGGTACAACTATCCCACTTGGTTCCCAGCCTCTGAAGAAAATCAGGAGGAAGTCAGCCTGTTGCTCCCAGTAAGGGAAGCAGAGATGGTCATCAGGTACTAATGTCAGCTCTTAATGATCTTCATGTGTGTTGGTCTGGGCCCATGATTTTGCTGTAAATTTGTGTTAACACTCCTTTCCAAGTACTATCAGTAAAAAAGCAAGGCCCTCTTTTTCCCCACCAGCTAGTGGGAAAAGAGAAACGTATTTGAAAACTAAAACCTTCCCTGGGATGTGCTTTACACCTTTGACCAGAAAAAAGGGCGGGTTCTGTAAAGTGATGACGTTGGATCAGTCTGACAGATGGTAACGTGCATGATAAGCACTCACTGAAAGTATGAGTGTGTGTGTGTGCGTGAGCCACACAATAGAGAACAGTGCAATGTGAAGCTTCTCTAAGTGTAATATTAGGATATTGGTGAAAAATAATAAACAACGTTTTTTATTTGGCCTTGGGATACTTCCGTATTTAAACCTATTAGCAGTGGGCATTTCAGACATTCCTAGAATCAAACTATAATGAAGCCACACTGAACTTGTAGCGAGCTAATACCCAGGCAATCTGATACAAGTGTGTCTTTAAATATCAGTACTTTTAAAAATTATAAGAAGTATGTGTATCTGAGCATGATTATTTTATATTCAATATGCTTTCTTTCTAGGAACTTGAAGCTCTCTTTTGTATATTGTTTAAAAAACACTCTGAGCTTGTAGGCATGAAAAATATAATTTCTTTCCATTTCACAGTTGGAAAAACTGAATTAAAGAGAACAATGCTAGTAATTATCCATGATTAACAGAGGTGTATATGTAAATCAGCCTGAGTAAGTGTGTGAAATTAGATGTGCTAATGCCAGATAGCTCTGCTCATGTTTTTTAAAGATGAATGCTTTCATATAAATCTCTGTGTGAGTCGGGCATACGTCTCTGTGTTGAGTATGTCTGGAAATAGACTTTGTAAGAGTGTATGGATATTAAGGTAAAAGTATTGTGTATTACAAGCATTATAATACACAAAATAAATTAGATGAGTGTTTAAAATTCATTAGACAGATACATATCTAATGAATGCAAATGCATTCATAATTGTTATTTATAATGCACTATAGATTTATGTATGTGCCTGGATGCCGCGAGGTGTAGATTGGAATTTGGGTGTACTTTGATCATTAAAAAGTGCGGGAGAAGGTGCATGTTAGTTTCTTAGGATTGTGGGGATTAATTGAGTTAATACATGCAAAACCCCTCAGAACTCTATTGGTACATGAGACGCCCACTGTCTATGTTAGCTTTGTTATTATTATTATAGGAGATGGCACTGCTGTTATAATAAGGAGCTGAAAAGAGGTATTTTCTCATTGATACCTGGGATAACATCCTACAGAAAATAAATGAAGCTGTAGGGATTGTCTAGTTATCTTTACAGCATGCATTGATTTTTAGGATTTTTCTCCCAGTTTCCTTCCATCCCAGTGGAGTCTGGTCTGGGAGTGCCAGGTGGGGGCAGGTATATGGCCTCCCACTGGAGATGGAATCTGGCTGTTCTGAAGCCAGGCCCACCCATAACAACACCAGGCTCCCTTTGGAAGGAAACATGCCAGGTGGACCTCAGATTTCTGCACGCCTGGTTTGTTTGTGGGTTGGATTTTAATTTTTTTTTAACTTTAATTTTGGGGGGGTTTGTTTTGTTTTCTGAGAAAGCTTTAGACAGCTGTATTAGTCATGCAAACCCAGCCATGTGCAATGTGTTTTATCAATGGAAAAACAGGAACTGAATGGCAAGCAGCTGTGAACAAACCCAGTGCAAAGCCTGAGCCTGGAAGATAATCTCAGCATTTCCCAAACCCACTCGCCACGCGAGGTTAGTGAATAGAAAGGCTGTTCACTTGGGATAAATAATGAGATGGGAGGCAAGCAAGTGAGACACATTCCAGGGTTATTAATTTTTTTTTTAAAGTTGCAGTGGTGTAAGAAAGATGGGCTGATTGAGTCCAGAGAGTCCCACACTCAAGGGGATTCCTCACCTGAGGGTGATAAAAACAACACAGTGGTAATTTGTCCTTGTCCCTTCTCTCCTTTTACTTCATTTTAAATCTCTGCAATGGTTTTGTCACCTCATTTTGAACCTGTGGTCCTTCTAAATGTGAAGGCATCTCTAGCGGTTTTCCATCATGAAAGGCTATGCACAAGTGAGATCATGGGGAGGAGACAAGAGCAGTATCGTCACTTCCCAGGATTCAGAGGCCTCAGGAAACGATTTGAGCCTAACAAAGTGAGAAAAGTTCCCTCAGTCACTTAGAGCTGATTCTTTCCTCATTTTACAATTCAGTGGATTTTCTGCAGCGATATAGTCAGAGGTAGTTATGCAAATATATGCAATTCAGGACTCATTTCAGAATAAATAAACCTAAATTAAAATTAATGGGGAAAAAACACCTATCAGAAACAGATCAAGGATGGAACGCTATTTTATTTATTTATGTATATCTTTTAAATTAAGCGGGGAAGCACACTGATTTTTTTTTTTTTTTGTCTTGTTTTTGGCCGAATAGGAAAGGACATTTGAAAATTTCTGATTGGCCACAGACAATACAAATTATCCTTTGGTGTAATTCCAGTATTATTATTATCACTGCAGAAAATCAAGCAATATGATGAAGGAAACCCAGGAGAAATACATTTGATTTATTGAGCCTTGTTTTTGTTTAATCACAGCTTGAAGGGGTTTAGGACTGCGTTCCTGCTGCGACTCTGATGTTTATCCTCAGTCAGCTTGATGAGCCATGTAGAGTGGGGCTGGGGGTGGGGAGAACCTCCAGTGAAAGATATTAACAATGAAGCAGCTGAAATTAAACATGCATTTCTGTTACTGGGAAGGGAAAGTTCTCTTTTTTATGACGGGTGGATGGAAAAGGACCTTTGCATCAACCAAGTGCTTATAGACACCTTAAGCACTTCAGAGTTGAGACATAGGATTCTACCTAGATGATGACAATATACAGTATATAATTAAATGAAGGTGTTTTGTGCTATAAATATGACCAGAGTGAGGTAGGCATACTTTTCATAGATATTTTGGTACTCCAGTGGAACTATAAAAAGAATTAAGGATCCTATATGTTAATTTTTGTTCACGGAAAACTGCATTTCACATGGGTTGCCATCTTGATTGGACAGAAGAGAAAAAAAAAAGGATTTGATCTCTACAAAGTTAAAGTCCTTGTAAGAAACAGGGAACTTAAGAGGGCATTATCTTTCTCTACCAGCCTCACACATCAGCTATCCCAAGTCTCCACGAACAGCTTTTCAATTTCTACCAGCAGAAGCCCAAAGTATTAGTAGTGAGATAAACTATATTCTCTAGAACTATTGGATCTAAAGAAGCTATCTACGGTCTATCTACAACGTCAAATCAAACTAGGGTCATTCTCCAATCAACAATTCAGTTTGTGGGAAAATATCGAGTTCAACAAAATCCAACATGCTCCATTCCTGGTCCAGATTGTTTTTCAATATCCAACAGCTGTCCTTTGTGAATCGTGACTGACTTCATTTTGTTCCATGTTATATATACATCATAAAGCATGATCAGATAAATATTTGAGTTTGTGGCTGTAGAACTGCTCTTACAAAGGCATAGTGACAATGTTCAAAGCTCATCCTGGATGGAGCATGCCCTCTTCGGTGAAAATGTTATCCATTGGGACAAAAGTGTATGTATGTGTTTGTCACATCAAGATATTTGCAAGATGGCAACATGATAAAATGGTGTCAATCTTTGCAGCAACACTAGAAGATAAATGTCTTAAAATAACTGTGGCATGTCAGGAATTCAAAATGGGATATTTTCCATGAACACTAAGTTTCACGTCAAGCCTAAAAAACAGGCACATTTTAAGTCTTATTTTTAGTAGCTGGGGTAAGGAAACAGATTTCATTAATGTTTTAGGGAACAATTTTATTCAACAGAGTTCTTCTAAAAATAGTTTGGACCCTTCTTAAAGTTTAAGAATAACTTTTTTATTAAGCTTGTCTAGTTGATCCTTGAAACCTTGCAATCCTCATTGCAAATATAATTAAAATAAGTTTGCATATATGTGAATACATACATATGTAAAACATAACATTATTGACACTCTGAGTATCCTCACCCAATTCTGACTTAATTTTTAGTTTGGAGGAGTGTTAATGAAACATGATCCGTCTTCAAACTTATAAGACAGCAGCTTTCTACCTTTAATTCTGAGCACACTTCTTTTATAGTGTATACAATAATCTTGTTTAATTAGATTTATTTTTTCCACACTAGGCCCCTGCATGGCCTACTCTCCATTTTTTCTCAGGTCTTTGAGTGTTATTTGCAAATCACTTTTCTGGAATTTAATTTCAATGGTAGGTTGGTTTCATTTCAGATTTTTTCTATTGTTTTAATTTTATTTGCCAATTTGCCTTTAAATAGCCTTAAGCTAGAAGGCTGGGGCTGCAACTTGCATCTAAATGTGGTGTAGGAGGCGAAATTTAATTTGAGTGTGTGGAAAGATTTATGAAAAGGAATACAGAATGATTACCTTATTTTTTCATTTGTGTTTTCTAAAAGAGTTATGTTTAAAAGGAAAAGCCCTCAAATTGGCTAAGATTTTAAGAAAAATGAATGTCCTTGTAATCTGGTTGAGTTCAAACTTTGACAGCACTAGATAAATTCATTTTTACAATACCAGGGACTTCAGATTCAGATTGTGTAAGCCTCCAAACATGAGGGTGGTCAGTTAAAGGATTCGTATTTTTATGAGCTGCAGAACATAACTGGCTGTGTTCCAAATGTGTGAATCCACAGTTACCTGTCATACATATTAATTGAAGAGAAAATTGCTTTCTGAGCTTGGCATCATCTTGCCAACAACTGACCAACTTGAGTCAGATGACAGATCTGTTACAGGCCTATCAACTGGTGTGGGGACAATTGATTGACTTTCTTCTGAAGGTTTAAAGAAAAAAAAAGGATTTCTATTGTATGTGAATTTTGTGAATATGTATCCCCCGTTGTATGTTTTGCACATTATAGATGATGGAGAATGACCCAGCAACAGAACTACAGTCATAAAAATCATACTGACCTTGAATGGGAATAGGGATTGTGGGTGAAACACGCTCTAAAGGGGAAAAATAGTAAATATCATGGAGAGTTTATATAGATCTATATCTCTTTCTGTATATGTGTATATCCAAATAGATATATATATATATTACTCATGTTTAGCTATTCAGATAATTATAAAACCGATGAATTTCCATGCTTATAGGATTATATCTCCCGTGAAGCATTTGTCTGTTCTTCTTGCCAACACAAAAGTATCAGAGAACTATTAGTAAAATTTTAAATCTAAAGCCTTTAAAAAAATTTAGCTAGAGTAGGAAACAACATCTTATTGTGGCAACCCTACAAAGAGGATCCTATCCTACATTGAAAAAAACTCACTACCAAAATTACAGATTTTTTTGGAGGGCCGGGTTGAGGGTATTTAAATTAGTAGTGATCACATTCAGTCATGCGACTTCCTCCTGGTTCTGGTCTCTTTAACTCATGACAGATGGACCCATGATAGCTAGACTCCTTTCCTCTCCCTGAGCCCTACAGCTCATATCAGCTTTAGCCAAGTATGTGGAAAATTTATTTTGGGAAATACTAATTCAACTTTTCCCTCAGGCTTTTACTTCCATATTACTAATACAAGTGCAAGAATAAGCCCAGGAAATAAGTAAATTGGCATGATATAATTCTATTTTGTCTTTTCTTTAATACCACCCTCTTGTGATAATACAATCTCACCTGAAATTTGATCAACCAATCAAATGTACTTGATGATACATCCTGTTGAGTAAGAAGAAGCATTCTTTTGAACATTTGAGTTTTAGCTTATGTGTCCCTCACGGTCCTAACCCCAAGCTACTGATCATAAATTGAATGTGCAGGCAGAGCTCAGGCTTTAAGGTATCCTCTATTTATCTTATCAAAACCACAGGTTTAACTCTAAATCCTCCTCTGAGGCTCTTTCAGAGAGGCAAAATGGTCTATTAGGGATAGGATACATTACTTACTGCCCGGAAACCCTATAGTGCAATATAATTAACCCACACTTTATATTCCTCCTAGCTGTTTTGTTAAATAGGTACTAACAATAAATTGAAATAAACAAAAATCAAGTTCATATTCAAATTTAATCTGCCTGCCATCTCGTACCATAAGTTTAGAAAGAGTAGATTTTGCCTGGAATTTGGGCACTCAGTACATCTGGATGCCAAGAAAACCCAGTCTCCTTGCAGAGTGAACTTTTCTCTAGCTTGGCTGAAAGTTGTAGCTTAAATGCCAAAGTTTCCTAAGTGCATTAAGAGGGAACAGGTCAATAATAGCACAGTGAAAAATTGTGTCTTAGTTACACAAGTGTCAAGTAGAAAAATGGTTTAAACCTCCACTGGTTATTTGGTATTAAGTTTCCAGCTTTGAAAATAAATAGCTAAACTACTTTCAGCATCTATGTAGCAGTTGGAGACTACTGTCCCATACGATACTCTATCTACTGTATTTTATTTTTATTATTACTATTATTATTCAGACTGTTTAAGTGACTCAGCTTAATATTTTCTCATCACACTGTTCACAGCTGGGTAAATGCACTCTGCCCTCATTTCCACAAGACCATTTATACTGCTAAAATTTTTTCAGCCGCCCTCCTCTCATCGCCTTTTCAACTGTTTCCCAGCTTGCTATCATCATCTTAGCTCCACCCTGTTCTCATCATCTTAGCCCTATCATGCCCCACCAGTTACTCTCATTTTCTAATTCCACCTTACTGACTTATTCCTTAGATGCTTCCCCGTCCCAGCTTTTTATCCTTATTTCTCCACCATTACTCTGCGGCATTTTATAATTTATGCCAGGGTTTGTGGGCTCTTGTAAGAGTGTCAAGTGAAGAGATACCACTTAAAATGAAAAAGAAATTCTTCAACGTTTGAAATTCAAAAGTAGGGGGTACAGGAACTTTGCTGCTATGCACTTTGTCTTTTGGCTGCTAACATTTGGGGAAGTCAGCGGAGCTTAGCAGCTGATTGGAAGGTTTTAGGAACAGAGCCCTAAGATTGACCCCAGAAATATATGCTGTGGCTCTTAGCAAGATCCTTTGATCATCGGTTTCTTATTTGCTAAATGGGTGAGTGTGTGTGTTATTGGTTGATTCTGCTGGGACACCATGAGATAAATGGGGCATTAACACTTAACAAGAAAAACCTCTGAATTAAAAGCACTCAAATGACAAAGGCTAGAGTTGATGATAAGGTGTATATATGGAGGTAATTTATTAACTCAGATATGATTTTTTTTTATTTTTCAATGGGTATGCAGATGTTCTGTAAACTTTCTGGAAGTCAGCATATTCCACATCTAATCTTGAAACTAAATCAAGTCCCAATGCCCATCTATTTCTTATTGTAGCCACAGAGAGCCCTTGTAAAAAGTTTGCAGCCAGTCTTTCAAACTACATGTGGATAGTGTTCCAATAGCTGCTCACACTGTTTTATTCTGTGGCGACCAGAAGTAGCTGGTTAAGAGGCTTTGCCAAGTCTTAACTAGTATCATCAAGTGGTATATATTTAAACCCTGAGCCCCCAAGGTAATAACTTAAAATGGTTTCTAAACAAGTGGGGGAGGCCCTCATTTTAAGGGCTCTCTCCAGTGCTGGGTTGCTTAGGTAATACTTGAAATTTAATCAAGTATAGGTTTACAAGTTAATGATCTTTTAAAATTAAAAAGAAAATTTGAACACCTCTTACACACTGATGTGGTATGGCTCAGTGTAGACTTCTTTGCATTTTTATTTTTTTGTACTTAATAGCTTCAAAATGCCTTATCAACCCACACATTTCTCTAAAGTAGAAGGTAATTGATTAGTAGGAGTTTCCTTTAACATGTGGGAATATTCCCCTCCTGAGGTCAAGAACTGATCACTAGGCTGGAATATTAGTTAGGAATCTCCATGTGCCAAAGATAAATCAACGATCTAACTAATCCAGTGGACCCATGTTGGTGGGGGTTAATGGAAATGGAAATGGGAGGTGGCAGACACAGTGTCTCAGGTGGGAAGGGATATAACAATATTTAGTCATGGACAGACCTCACTAAGTGAAAAAATGAGAAAGAAATTATATGTCTCTTCACTTCCAAACTACAAAAGATACATTTCCTAACATTTTCTCCACATATACAAACCCAGGTAACATATTGATCTAGAGCCTGGATTCTGGAAACAGATTACCCAAATTTAAATCCCAGCAGCTTTATTTGGTTGCTCTAGTTACTTAACCTCTTTTTCTAATGGAGAAGTAGGAGTACCTACTAGGGTTGTCTTGACAATGAAATGAGATCATGAATGTTAAGTGTTTAGCGCATGTGCAGAGTACCTTGTAAGAATTCACTTGATCAGAAGTGACCACCTTAAAATCATCACTCTATTCTTCCTCCTATCCATTGTTTTAAAAGTAACTCAACATAAGCATGGAAACAAGATAGGTTTCCATTGTGGGTGCATTGTAATCATCAGTGTGGGAACACAGAATCTGCGATGTTCCATATGCTGAGGATGGACCTTCTCTTGGCATCAACAGAAATCTTCCTCCATGTGGTGCATATCTCCACAGTGGACAAAGACTAAGGAGCTGAATCTTTGCCTGTACATGCTGTACCATTGGATTAATGCATTCAGGAAAATTGCACAATGTAATGCTTTCCCCAGGATGGAGAAAAATATATGAACTTGGATATAATATAGCCTGAGGTAGTACAGATTCTTGACAAACAATGCTGGAATGTGTGGAGAGGGAGACAAATGAGAAAGGAGTGCTTCCATTGGCTTAGGAAAAATTGCTATCAATACATTGTATTCTTGCACTTTCATTCAATTACTTTGACCCCTTTGGAGATCAATATTTGCATAGAGAGAGGAGAAGTATATGTATGTATGTGGTGGAGGACAAGATGAATCAGTGACCACAAACTGACACTGTGTAAAAAGTCAGCACATGTCACTGAGGTGGATGCTGAAAATGTGCTGACACCCCAGTGAAGATGGATAATCACGAACTCTTCAGGGGCTCTGGCTCTCCAGTTCTCCTTGCTTCCTCTTTCTGGCTTGCAGCAGCTCACCAGCTGCCTCATCTGCTCTGGACCAGCTGGGTCAGCACAGCACCCCACTGCCTACACAGTGCTCCCTGTCAGGGCTGCTGTAGCCGCCCCTCCCAAGCATCTCTCCCCTCCTGACCCTGTTCTGTGGAAAAGTACGGCTACCTGCAGTGTCTTCCTTCTTCCCATTCAACCCCATCTACTTTGAGTCCAAGTAATGGGCAATCTGTTCACACAGGCACTTCCTTTTCCCCCCCTTCTCTTCCCTTTCTCTTTCCCCACCTTCTCCCTCCCTCTTTCTCTTTAGCCTGTGTGAAATAGGGTTTCATAGAGCTGTATTCCCAAGGATTCAGCTATCATGGCTGTAACAAGGGACCTCCTAACCCTAAATGGTCACTGTGGGGTGGGCATGGTGGAAGCGGCCTTCCTGTTAGGTAAGAAGCACAGCTTTCCCCTTAAAATGTGCATACTTGGGTCTTGGGTCTAAGGTCTAAAGAGGGCAGTAGTTCCTCTAATTTTCATCATGATTCCTCTAATTTTCATCATCCCCCCATAAGGTGGGGAACCAGTTACAAACCCAGTGCTGATGCACATGCTGCCAAATGCAGAGCTGGTGCCTGGGAGGGCTGTTCTGCAGAGGGCAGTGTGGGCCCACGGTGGAAATAGCACACCATTAATCATGGCGCTGTGCACTTCTCAAGGGTATAATTGCAGGTGACCTCAGTGAAGTCACAATATGATGATGATACACTTGTCCAAGTCTGTGATTCTCAGCTTACAAACAGAAATTCTGTGAGATTCTTGGCACTTCTTACTTTTACTGGGTGGGTCCTTTAAGTGGACTTTTATGAATAGGGCAATGGTATTACAGGGCTTGAGATGACCCTTCCTCACCACCAGCACACTCGCGGGATCTCCATTATCTCTGACCTAGCCCACCCTTGCTTTCTCCTCCTCAAGTATTCCACCCTTCCCTCCTCCTTCACCTTCCTCTCTCAGTCTATAGGTGTTATTTTATTTATTATTTGAAATATATTAGCACACTTCTTCTGGGTGGGATACAAGGAAAAGATACTTTTCATATGATCTCACTGATAGGCAGAATTTGAGAAACAAGACAGAGGATCATAGGGGAAGGGAGGAAAAAAGGAAACAAGATAAAACCAGAGAGGGAGACAAACCATAAGAGATTCTTAATCTCAGGAAACAAACTGAGGGTTGCTGGAGTGGTGGGGGGTCGGAGGGATGGGGTGGCTGGGTGATGGACATTGGGGAAGGTATGTGCTATGTTGAGCGCTGTGAATTGTGTAAGACTGATGAATCACAGACCTGTACCCCTGAAACAAATAATACATTATATATTAATAAAAAAAATTAAAAAAAAGGAAAAGATACTTTAATGCAAATTATAGTTGCTCACTTTTTCTAACCTAGCTGTCCCACTTTCTCTATAAAACCTCTTACTGTCCCTACAGAACCTCTTATTAAGTGTATGTTGTTCTACTTAAGCAGGTTACCTTAGATACTTCAGAATCTCAAATTTAGAGTTGAGGCTGTTTGCCCCCATTTATGGAATCCCTGATGTCAACAATGAAACAAGTAACTACATTTCTTAATAAATACCTTCTCAAGTGTCTTGAGATATTGGTGTCTCTAGCTGAAGTAAAGAACACTGATGTTTGGTCTTTGGAGACAAGTAAACAGGGATATGAATTTTAAACTTCATATTAAAATTCATGTGAATTTTAAACTTCAAGTATTTGTATGACTATATCCCATCAAACTGTTGTAGGTTGAAGTCAATGGGAGTTATGGGGGAGAAACTGAAGCCCAAATTTAGAATAGTTTGTGGTTGTTGTTTTTTATAAGCAGAGGTGGATCTTGAACAGTTATAAAATGGCTTTAATACTTCATCTCAAGAGAACTCTCACTGAGATTGATTTTTCTCCTAAAAATATATATTTTTTTCTTGTAGGCTCATCTAAATTGGGTAAAGCAAGATGGAGACATCTCTCCTGGTCATAGTATTTCTAGCTTTTCCAACTGAACACGTGCAGAAAAAAATTCCTAGTAGCTTGTTATTCCAAAATAATAATAGTAAAGGTTTTGGACTTTCTCTTTTAGTCCAAATGAACTTTCTAGCCCAGCATGTGCTAACTCTTTTGTTTGTTTTACTTATTCTGATAAACATTTTCCCATTCCAAACATTTTCCTATTCTAAATTCCATTTTCTTATTCCGAGTTTTATGATCAGTTGAACGGGACTGATCACTAGAAAACTACATAAAAGTAAGAGATGATTGACGAAACTGTAAACTTGTTTTCCTATTCCAAATGTATCATTTTCTCCTAATTTCACCCGTCATATTTCTGTTTCTCAGGGGGCATTTGTGTCTGTGCTCATAGCCTCAGGGCCAGCAAGGCAGGGGGTCAGATAGCTGACCTTAATAGCTGCTACAGAGCCAGGCTCTGAAGTGGGCTCTTACTACTAACACCAGGAAGCTAAAACAACTGAGTCCTCCTCAGTCTGCCTTAGGATCTTCTCTGGTCTTTGGAAATGCTCCTCTCTCCTACCATTTTATCACTTCCAAAAATATGTCAGATAAGTAATGTTTCCTGCTGTCATATGGAAACTTTTCTGCAACCATTTTTCCTTCTTTAGATTTTAGATCATGTTTTAATCATTCACTCCACCATTGCTCTTGTGTTGTTAAAAGTACACTTTCTTTTCCCAGCCTCTCCCTTCTTCCAGCATCTTATCCATCCTCATGGAATTTTTCTTCCTCAATCACTCTCACTAGGGCCATTTTTGTATTGCCATCCATTTTCCAGGATCTTACATCACCTCTGTTCCTTAAGGAGATTTCTATTCTTTGAATATTCTTACAGTTAAATCAACCAGGAAACAAAACAAAACAAACAAAAAAGAAAAAACAACCCAGCAACAACAAAAAATCACAACCAAGGTAGTTATCATAAGTAAACCAGGAAATCGAGAGAGAAGTTATTTCATTTGTAAATCCCGCCTTATGCATAGGGATGGAGGGACTGTGTTTCTGTTTCAGTGACTATATTCTTATTTTTGTGTAAGTTTACCTTTACTAGGTAAGGTAAATGATAAGGTAAGGGGGTGATTTTCAGGTTTCCCACTGGAGAACTAGTTGACTGAGTTCTCCCACATCAGGCCCTGCTTTGGCATACTTACTGAAAAGGACTAGGCTGGCATTGGTGACCCCCAGATTGTTGGCTGCCACGCAGGTATAGTTGCCGTAGTGCTCCTCAGTGACGTTGGTCACCGTCAGTGAGGACTGGCCCTCCGTGCTCTTAATCTCAAGGCCATTAGCACTGTTTATCCTAAGAGTTCAAAAACAGAAGAGGAAAAAGGAACAATGATGAAGACTTGGCACAGTGATCCCTTTTTCATCATGATATTGGAGGACATGGAAAGAAATGTAGTAGTTAGAACTTGTGGGTCCCTGCTCAATTCCTCATTTTAATCGCGCAACCCCATATCATCAGAATCAATGTCCACTGATAGAGAAGACTCAGGAATGGATGAGTTTCACTGGGCTTTGCGGTAAGAGGTACAGGCCCCAAAGCCCTTGGTAAAGAGATTTAGAAAATGAAGAGTTTAATAGCGTAAACCCACATCATGACAGCGGAGCTTGGTTCTGTCCCCAGGCCCACATAGTGGAGCAAAGGGGGCCTGGCACATTTGGCAATTACCTGGTGTCATCCCGGTACCACTCAAAGTCAGGTGCAGGCACTGCTGAGGCCTCACATTTGAGTGAAGCTTTCCGCCCTGTGGTGGCTTCGTTGCTCTTGGATTCTGTGATAGTGGGAGGATCTGTAGGAAAGACAGGCACACCATTGACATGAGAGTCAGAGGGTGCTGCGGAATTTCCATGCAAGAAGGACTCAGAAAGGACCATCTGATCGGAGAGCTGCACGAAAGAAATAGTCTTCAAGCCTCATTTACGTGAATTTTGTGATCAGCTGAATGGCACTGATCACTAGAAAATGAAATAAAAATAAGAGATGATTAATGAAACTGTAGACTTGCTTTACTTAAATGGGACACTTAACAGGGTTTTATGGCAATGGAATCTAGGATTTCTTTTTCCCTACTCCAATAGACCATCAATTATTTCAACCATAGATTATAATATTTACATAGTTTTTTCTTTTTATAAATTAAGTGGTGATACCAAAGGACTTGGGATTTTAAATGTCTAATTTCAACATTTTTCTTTTTCATCATCATCATTATCATCTCTATTGTTATAGTTTGAGATGGTAGTAAGAAGTCTGGTGAAAGTGATAGAGGATTAAAGTTCTCCCAACATAAGCTCAGCCTAATATCGTTGCAGGAATTCAGAAAAACAAACAAACAAACTAGTGTTAGATATTTACCTTTTTTTCTAAGTGTTTCCTTGTTGCTATGACCCAAGTAAATTGTGCTTTTGTGTGTGAGTGTACAATTGAAGTGTACCCCGCCTCAGAGAAGCCTGCCTGGTGTGTGAGCTTTCTGCGCTCACTGGCAGTTGGACACTTATGTTCTGCTTAGAATTGGGCCTGCAAAACTGTAGCAGGTTTGAAATGAGCTCAGAAACACATCTAATATTCTAATTTGCTATGATTCTTTCAAACAATCCTACAGAGGGTGGAACAAGCGTTTACAGGTCCACATGACTGAGCTGGGATGGTAGACTCAAGCTCCTGGCTCGACGATGCTGTATTTGTACAGTTTATGGACCTTCAAGGAGAAAAGGACTTTTCCGCCCAAAGGTCATTTGCCAGAAAATGGTAGGTTGGCTCTGTGCTCAAGTCAAAAATAGACCCAAACAATCTGTTTAGATTTTGTAGAGGAGAAAGTTTATTTAGAGAAATTAGCAAAGTAAACTCTAGTACACAAAATTTATTTAAATCTCTGCTCTTCAGCACTTGGTTCGGCTCACTCATTTTTGATTTTTGTCTTCATATTCAAAACTATTTTCCAAATTTCCTGCCTATAGAAGACTCTGACCTTCTTAGTTTAAAAGGATGCACCAAACCACGAGGTTAGTTTGCAGTTTTATCCCCCATTTCATTTTTACATCAGCGTGGACATCTTGAAATCACTGCCAGAGAGAGGAGGAGTTAAAGCACATTTGGATAAGCATCACCAGCCCTTGTGTAGACAGATGTGCCAAAGCGGGTGGTGGAGGTGGCTGTTTTATTTTAGACCTATCTACTCATTTTTGTATAGACACAAAAAAGCAGTCAGATGAGTGGAAACTAGGAGTCCTGGAATTTAATTTCTGTTTGGTTGTGTGGACCTCCCATCACACAATTTATCTTACTGAGCCTTGGTTTTATTACCTATAAAGTGAGGGAACCACACTTTAATGACCTCTGGTAACCCTTCCAGCTTTAAAAAAAACAAAAAACAAAAAACAAAAAAACAATTCTAGTCAAAACTGCCCATCTTTCACAAATGGGCAGTTGGTATCATTATGACCCAAGTGTACGTTCATACCCATAACTCATTTAACCCTTAAATTACTAACTTTCAAAATTACAGCTTATTTATCTGTTCTATGAGTTAGGAGTCAGGATTAACAGTCAGAAACAGGAAACCTAAGGTCAGATTTTAACTCTTAACCAGAACTATGGCCTGCCCAAGTGTCTGCACCAGTTTGAGCTTTTTCTTTCTCTTCTTTTAAAAGAAGGAGTTGGGGCGCCTGGGTGGCTCAGTTGGTTGAGCTACTGCCTTCGGCTCAGGTCCTGATCCCAGGGTCCTGGAATCGAGCCCCATATCGGGCTCCCTGCTCCGCGGGAAGCCTGCTTCTCCCTTTCCCACTCCCCCTGCTTGTGTTCCCTCTCGTACTGTCTCTCTCTCTCTCTGTCAATTAAATACATACATAAAATCTTGAAAAAAAAAAGGAGTTAACTTAAAATGATCACCAAGATTCCACATAAAATTCTTTCATTTGGTGATTTGCTATATGGATCATTAGAGCACATTAGTTCAAAAGATAATGGAATAATTGGTGGTAGTGGTGTTGGCGGGGGAGGTATTTGTATAGAGATGGGGCACTGAACAGAGGTTAAGAGTTTGGATTTAAAGTTTGATAGACATGAGCTCAAATCCAGACTCTATACTTCACTGTCCTTCCTCATTACAGAAGATAGTGCTTTGTCTAGAGTCATATTGCCTCACCTTCCTCATTTATAAAAAGCTGGAACCAGAGGCAGGGAGGTCCACTTTGAGAGTACTGAAGGAACCCAAGATAGCCTGCACTAGGTTTGTGATAAAGAATATGGAAGGGAGGGACAGAATTGAAATTGAGAGATACGAAGCCTTAGCACTGACAAGAATAGATGTAATGGATGAGGGTAAGAAGGAGGAGTGTCAAAGGTAACACTCAGGTTTCTGGGTTGGGCATCTAAGTGATGCCATCCTCTGCCAAAAGATACGTAAGAAGAGAAAGAGATGACCATGAACAAATACCAGTTTCCCATCCTCACCTATTCACTGTAGCAGGTTCTGAAGCTGCCAGTGACTCCACAGTTTGTAGCATGCTGGCCAGAGAGATAATCTTGCTTGTGATTCTATTGACTTGTTTAATTTCTCAGTTTGTAAAATGAGTTTTAACCAGTGTTTGTGAATTTCTGGAGCCACATGGTTATGGGTGACAAACCCTTAATGATGACTACCTTTTTGCTAAACCAGCCCTAACCTGGATCCAATCCCACACTTTCTATCACCTCCACCTCTCACACTCATGGCTGTGGCACCTCAACATAATAATGCCATGGTACGTGGCTTCCAGCCCCTCCACTATGGGACCAGGAATGCAGGTCCCAGCTGTACAGTTTTGTGGGAGAGTTCCTCCTTACTCTGGATGTTTCCTTCTATGTGGTGGGACTTATTTAGTATACCTCCTTGCTCTGAGACCCACAAGGAAGGAATAACTTTGACTGAAAAGTCTGGGAAGAAGAAATGAGGTTTCTTTGGTTCATCTCTTTCCTTGCTTCCTTTTGGGACCAACCTTCTGGCAGGGAATGGGGGTTCGCCTCTGTTTCTTCACACTAAAGTCTTACTCAGGCTCTCTGCTTCCTGCTCTTAGCTGAGTAGGCCTGCCCCATTCCAGGGCTGCCATGATTGGAGAGATAAGTCCCCCACACTAAGTACTACCTCTATCCATCTTAATCTCTAATAATGGGGGCAATTGGGCCTCTCATACATCTCCTTTACTTATTTCTCCATTTGTTTAGAGCCTGAATAACTATGTAGTAAGTTATTTATTAGCTCCTCAGAGATGCCAGTATGGGAAAGGTGACAGCAAATTAAGGTTGAACACTTTTAGGTGCATTAATTTTGGGATAGGATGACACTGGTCATTTACAAAGGCCAAACACTTGCTTCTCTCCTTGAAAATCTAGGAAGTTTCTCCTACCAAGGTAAATTCACAGATAATGATAAATGTACAAAGAAGTCATTGTTCCTAATATTTCTCAGATGACACAATGGTGCAGGTCTATTCACTCATGGCTTATTGGAATGAACATTTCAAAATTCATTTGTAATGAATTCTGTATAGGTGAGGCTAAGAAAAATTATTACAAATCACATTGCAGCATGCCTAGTATAGTTAAAATAATAGATGTCCATGCTCAAAATATCGTTATAATAAAAATGTGGCTTAATAATAATGCTGCACAGAGTTCATTGCTATTCTTTATGTGACTTTGGAATAGCCTACAATTTTCAAAGGACTCTTCCAGTCTTTATTACTTCAAAATTCTGGGTTCTGAAAATATTAATAAGGACTTTCTTTGTCTTATATCACCAATAACAAGAATTTTTCAATTAGAATGAATAGGATAACAGTGACAGTGGTCTAGCAAGCAAAATGTCATTCACTTAATCATCCTAATTTTTTGGAATAATAATATAAAAAGAACAAAATTCTTAATAAAGGTCTCAATTTGTGGGCATTTACCATGTCAGCACTCTAGTAGGCTTTAGGTATTCTTTTCATCCAAATAATAGCTATCAGAGATAAGACTTATTAACCCTAGCTTATGAATGAGAAGACAGATCTACAGAGGGTTAATAACTTGTCCAAATTCACATAGCCAGCACTTGATGGAGTCTAGATCTGAACCCATGTTTTGAAGCCCATGCTCTGAACCTCTCTGGGCTTCCATTTGAATGACACTCTTCCTTTAAAGAGAAATGAATTCCTAATAGGGAAAAATACCATTTAGGGGAACATGTTGGTAGCTTAAAAGGTAAATGTTCTATTTCTGCTATTAAAGGGTACCAAAATGGCACAGCATGCAGTGACCTAGGGGGTATAAACCTGCATTAGAAATCAGGAGTTGTGAGTTCAATTTCTGCCTGTGCCACTTAGATGATCATCTCCTATGGGTGACATGTTGACTTCCTGGGCCCCCCCACCTATAAATGGAGATGATGACCCCTGTGATCTGTCTCACAGGTTTGATGTAAAGATCAAATGAAATCATGTATATGAGAGCACGTTTAACACCTGAGGTGATTACTTTTATTATTATTATTTTACATTTACTATTTGTATTACTATTATTCACATGGTGTTTTGGAAGGAAAGAGGGCTGTGGAGTTAGAACTGGGTCAGAATCCCAACTCTACCTACCACTCACAAGTTCTTTGATTTTATGGCCAACAATGCTTATATTCTCTGAGCTCTGTTTTTGTCCTCTCTGTAGACGGATGATTTGATTATCTTTCAGGGTTAGTGTGCAATGGTGGACAAACGGAGGAGGGGCAGAGAATAGAGGCAATAAGAAAGGTACTATCTTTAGAGAACTTAAAGATAATAGAACTAACTTAAAGTAATCTTTTTTTTTTTTAAACACTATGTCCCAGAAATACTAAACTTAACATACTAAATAATGTCAGATAAAGTAAATATCTCCTTGCTGGGGCAGTTCAGGCCCAATACACCTCCCTCCTTGGTTAGCCACTGTCAATGTGATGACTACAGTGAATCATACAAAACCTCTAGCACAGTCTTGGTACTCTGAAAGAATTCAGGAAATTATGGTTCTTGTTCACATTGCAAAGTTATGGTAGAAGATTTCAAAACTCTGGATTCATACTGGATATTTCCTCTGAAGGTCCCATAATAGAGTCATAAGCATTAGGACATGTCTTTACTGAAACCATGCCAAATATAAGAATAAACTAAAGGTTGGCATGGAGAATGCGTAGCTGTAGCTATGAATATCCAGAGAAAGTAGCTACTCTGGTTCCATTATGAGCAGTCATTTTCTTGAAGTCTCATCATTAGGTGATTTTTGAATCAGAGCACTGAGGAGTTCAGTTAAAATGCATATATATTATCTGGAGACAGTGGATGTCTCCAGTCCCAGTTGTAGATTCTATGGTAAGTAACCTCTACCTCCTCTAATAAATGGCTATCAAATGTAAGCATGAGCCTTAGAAATGCCAGGGTCCATGTCCCCCCGATCTGTGTTGAGTTAGTTCTGAACATCAATGTGGAGGCAGAGCTGAGTTCAAAGGGAGACGAATAGAGGAGAAAGAAGTTATAGCTTGGTAGTGTGAACCTAGTTGGAGACATCGTTGTGGGAAGGTGGAAAGTAGGAATATTAGCTGGTTAATGGGATGGAGGGATTGCTTGAGAGTTGGGGGCAGCTTTGGAGAAGTATTTCTACAGAAACAGGAAAAGAGTTCAGTTTAAGGAGAATCCAGATAAACTTAACAGTCTGCATTTATTGAATGTTGACTATGCACTAGATATTATCCTCAGGATACTGGGCACTAGGATGAGGTAAACCCAAGTAGCTACTTTTAATACACTGTGAGAACTGAAATTGAGGGAATCTGTAAGGAAAGCACAGTTGTCCCTAGGGATGGTATCTGGAAGAAATGAGCAGCTGTACTGTAAGTAAGATACAAGAAACCAGAAGTCCTGTCTATTGTACTAGTAATAAGCTTATTTAGTTGAAGAGATTTCAGGTCAATAATTTAGCTTCTGTAAACTCCAGGACCTCTCACTACTTAGAAAATAGATTTTGCTTGTCAAATGGCTATATGCAATGCTCTAAACCAACTGTGGAGAAGGATTATCCAAGAGAAGTAAAAAGGAGAGACCGTAGAATCCAGCTTATGACGTAAACAGGAGAAACTGTTGTGTCTACATCTTTTATTTACTACTCTAGCTTCTCAGTGTCCTGCAACAAATATCTGTTGGCAACTGAGTAAATGAATCAATGAAATGCTTGTAGGAGAAAATTACCAGCATTGGGATTTTTTTTTTCCAGTGGTACTCAGGGTCTGTTTCATTACAATAAGCTATTTAGTCATTATTTATCTTAGCCATCCTGATCCCCTGAACTAATTCCAAACCCTGTGTTTTGAAAAGGAAGAGGAATCCTTTAAATAATGGGACACTTTCACAGTACAGAGGCTTAGATGAAGTGATGCAGGTAATACTGGATATTCCTCTGTAGGACCAAGTTTTTCTAGCCAGACCTGGTTCTGTAATTCAATCCTGGAGACTTCATCTACTTAATACAACTACATTTAAAGAGGACATATTGTATGAACAGTACAACAGGTACAATGGCTAGTTGTTTTAATGTAATATAAACACAGCTTATGCAGGGTTGGTAAAAAAGGTGATTACAAAGGAAATTGATATTAGAATATATTTCCTGATTTGTGACTGAGTTTGAAGAAATGTTAAGAGGGCAGACTTTACCTATGAGTTTTTACCTACTCATTCAGTCAGCATTCACTGAGCAATTTTTATAAGGTCAGGTATGTGCTAGGTGCTGTTGTTTAGGACATACATTCTGTATGTTTAACTAAGCTCATTATAAAACTCCATGTAATTTGTTATTAGATATCTTTTCAGAATCTTGAGGTTCTGTCTATATTCTTCCATGGTTCACTCATCACTAGGAAAAGCTCACATCTTCATAAAAGCCTTTTCTTAAAAATTATCAGTATTTTCTTCTGCTCTAAGTTACACTATGGGGACAGTCAAGAAGGAGCAATGTCAGACTAATTGCGCTAATAATAATAGGGCCCAGGTGGCTGGCTTTGATCTTGGGAACCATCTGCAATGCGGGCCACTTTGATGTTTCACACAATGGAAGCATAAATATTTTCTATGTACTCCATGATTGGACTTTCAGAAATCTAATTAAGATGAAGGTCAATTAAGAGAAAATGAAATCTTAACTCTAAAAGTCAGAGAAGAGGTGGAAGATGATGGCATGGCTGTGTGTACATAAAAGCACCTAACTAACCTAATTATAAACTTACATAAACACCCAGAGAAATTGCCTTTCATGTGAAAAAAAGGTCCTAAAGCATTTTATAACATTGAGATCATTAATGTGTCTTTGAAACACACCCAGCCCTGAAAAAGAATAGTAATACTGGCATTTCAAAACTCTATTACTAAAAAAAAAAATCGCAGACAGCACCAGGACAAAAGCACTTCAGAGCTCATCAAATGTACCCCTCGCTTCTTGGAAATGATTGCCATAAGTGTCTATGGCAGAGTCCTATGTATTGGATTCTTCTAGATATTGGGGTGAAGGAGATTTCACTGTCTGTCTAGGAAAGCTGCAAGGCTAAAGCAGGGTAATGGGAAATGGTGCAGCCCGGCGTAGACCAGGTCACCTCAGGCAAGTTTCCTCAGCTCTCTGTGCCTCAGTTTACAAATTTTTAAAGTATAACTAATGATGTTTACCTCATGAGTTTACTGTGAGAATTAAATGTAATTCCGTTAGTCCAGTACTGCCCGTGTTGGGTACTAAGGATTGAAAAACGCCTTCTCTTCCTCTTCTTCCTGAGAACATGGGCTTTAGAATCAAATGGGCCAGAGTCTGAATCCCTTTTCTTACACTTTCTTCTACACTGGAAAAGCAATTTTACTTCCTTGGGCTTCAGAGTCTCAAACCCTAAAATGGAGTCAATTCTACCTACCATGACAAGGAATTTATATAGAATTTATATAGAATCGCTGGTACATAGGTAACTGCATGGAAGGCTTAAGATAATGAGAAGTAATTTACAATGGTCTAGAGTACATTTTCAAGTATGGGTTAACGTGTTTGTGCATGTGTCTCTGTGTGCCTATGTACATGCATGTATGTGTGTTACATGTGCATATGTATATATGGGTGTGTAGGGGATGTATTTGTATGTGTGTGTGCACTAAATGCATAGAAAGGGAGAACTGTCAGGATGTCCCTTTGTCCCTGTCACTAGCCACAGTTGTTTGATGTGGGAACTTGAATTTGAATGATGTGAGAAGTCACTCCTAACTGAACAGGGTAAACTAATTCTCTTTATTCCTTTGCTGGATGACATACATCATATGGATCCACTCCCACCCCCTGTCTTTTGAACTACATCTAAGGATCTTTTCATCTGCGAAGTTCAAAGTATGCCCATTACCTATGCATCTTAGTGAAATCTTCGTTTCTAATGCCCATACTTTGGGACAAATAGCCAAACTAATTTATCAAGTATCCCTGGTAGCCACTGGAGACACATGATAACCCGACCACAGTGACTTGAATTTGTTCTCAAGACCAGTTGGTTAAATAGCAGAAGATGGGTTATTGCCTTCTGATAAACAATGCAATAAGAGAAATTCCAGTTGAAGCAGATATGAGTTGTTTCTTTTTCCAAAGCGGTGTGACCTTATTCTCCACAAAGACCAAAATAGTGATTGCCAGAAATGCTAGGGCTGTCTGATCATGTTTTCTTAATTCTGTAGTCTGAGTAAAAGACAGACTGTATTGTTAAATGCATTATGGGTTATATTTAGAGTTGGTAGAGTTGATTTATCTAGTTCAAAGGCCAAGTCCTGCCCTTGGATGTGTCCAATGTATAAATGTGCATCCCTGACCAGAGGGGCATCTGCTTGAAATGCGATGTTCTTTTGTTAATGGGATCTTTAGAGCTTGCTCGTGGTAGACGTGGGCCCTGGGCACACAGTACCTGCTGGCTTTTGCTATACTCACAGTTCACAGTGACCTTCACTTGTCTAACATCTGCCGAGGAGACTTCATTGGCAGCTTTGCACTCATATTTGCCTGACTGCTCCCTGGTGATGCCAAGGATCTCCAGATATTCTTCTTCTCCTTCAAACTCTCTCCCTGAAAAACAGAAATTTGCATGATTGTTTTTTAGGTTTAAAATATGCAGTAGAACACCTATGTTTTCTTTTCAGAAGCAGTAAATACACATGGTTTTTTAATAATTTGACAATGCATTTGTCTGAGGTCAGGTCCCACAGAAGCAGACCCCAAGACAAAAAGTCATGTGAACGTGATTGTGGAAGGAGCGTTCTCAGGAAAAACCAGTAGGTGAGTAGGAAAGTGGGACCTGGAAGAGAAAGAAGCCAAGAGAGGATACAGGTCTCATCCCACACAGGGTAACTTGGTTTAATCCATCAGGGAGCTCTGGGGAAAGCACATGTCGCACTCAAAGTTGTCCTGACTGAGGGTCAAGAAGCTAGAGTGTTTATGCATCTACACCCATTAGTCACTGGTTGAGGGCTCAGAACACAGTGGGAATTGGGCACAGAGTTGTAAGGGCTCAGAGGGACTACTGTCGAAGCACTGTTACCATCAGTTACACCATGTGGCAAAACACGCTTCTGACCAAAGTTGTTATTAGGAAAAGTGGTTTCCTTTTGAGAAACTCATTCTTCTCCCTCAGATTCTGTGGAATTCTGTTTACAAAGGTCATGTTTAAAACCCTGTCATGTAGTTATGGTTTCCTTGCTCGGTGTCAAACTGCTTCATCATTGAGGCTTTCAGACTAGGAACCAGATAGATGAGGATGTGCTGCTGATGCTGTGCTTTGTGACAGACTGTGTCACATGGTGGGGGGGAGGTGGTAGGGAGCTCAATATCATTGGCTTAATCAGTTAGGATTAGGGCTCTGGAGGTCCTTTTTGGAAAGTTCCGCAAAGTTGGATGTGTCCATTTAGTAATGAAATTTCAAGACAGGCAGGCTTGTTTAATTCCCCTCCTGTGGAGTATAATTGATTAAATGACTTTCTTCCTGGAGAGGGCGGGGGTCGTGAGAGAAGGAATAGGAAGTGGGAGGGGAGGAAAAGGAACTGAGGGAAAAGAAGATGAAGAGGAAAGGGGATTGAGCAGGGGAAGAGCTTGGTCAAAAAGGCTTATGGACTTTAACTCCAGCTAAATTGAACCCTCTTTAACTCCAGCTAAATTGAACCCTCTAAATTGAACAAATTACAAAACCCCATTGCTGTTGGGTTAAGATAAAGCAGTTGGGGAGGGTGCAAAAGGACACGGTCCTGCCCCGTGAAGAAATCTTGCTCTTGGTCATCCCACACTAAATGGTACCAATTAATAGCTTTGCTCAAATGCCACAAGCTATTTTCCTTTTCTGGAAATTCCCCAATGGCCAAATCAACATAACAGACAGCTAGCACAGAGACAAATTCACTCTCTAAATATGTCAGCCAAGCCTGTTAACTAGGCTCCCAGTAGAACACAGGGCCTCTTTGATAGCATCCTATAACACAACTGTCAGGACTATTCTAAGCTTCAAGTCTTCTGTCAATTGTCACTATCACTAGTGTTGAGGAGACTACACAATCCCAACAACAAAAGGCAGTAGTTATATAGAATTATCTGGTTCTGGAGTCCTGCACATTACCTAGCACATGTTTCTACTAAAAATGTTTTAGAATTAGTCTATTAAGTAAATAGCTGCATATTATCTATAAAAGATTAATTTTTTCCCTTGTCTGTGTTTTCACCTTTTTTCTTCTCCACATTCAGGGAAACAGACCTGACTTAACATGCCGCAGAAGTAGAATGTTGTAGGAAAGAAAACAGAAATCTTAGGAAGGGTAATAGTCTGCTGTACTGGATGAGCTGGGAAGAATTTGGGCTTGGAGGAAAAAAACAATCTTTCCTGCATACTTGCAACTGTGGACTGAGAGTCATGTCAACTAATTGATGCTAAAATCTTGTAGCTAAATGCAAATACCCTGAAGACAAATGGCAATGTTGACAACTCCAGGCCAAAATAGGTGTAAACTCATTAAAAAATCTGGAGTGCACGGGCGCCTGGGTAGCTCAGATGGTTAAGCATCTGCCTTCGGCTCAGGTCATGATCCCGGGGTCCTGGGATTGAGCCCTGCATCAAATTGGGCTCCCTGGTCAGCAGGGAACCTGCTTCTCCCTCTGCCCGCCCCCCCCCCATGTGCCTGCTCTCTCTTTCTCTCTCTCTCACAAAAATAAATAAATTCTTTAAAAAAATCTGGAGAGCAGCGGTGGAATTGACAGTAAGACAGCATTACTGATTTTGAGAATAATGGTATATTGTAATAAAAGAAGGGTTTGGGGCACCTGCGTGGCTCAGGTGGCTCAGTTAAGTGTCTGACTCTTGGTTTCTGCTCAGGTCATCATCTCAGGGTCGTGAGATGGAGCCCAACATCAGGTTCCATGCTGAGCACCCCCGTGCCCCTTCCCCAACCCCTCCCCCTGTTTGTGCACTCTCTATCTCTAAAATAAATAAATAAAATCTTTAAATCGGGCTCCCCTGCTCTGCGGGGAGCCTGCTTCTC